TAATTAGAAGCAAGCAAAATGCAAGCAATACTTCTTGTAAAAAGGCAGCCACGTGGTCATATGTTAAACTAAAAGCATTTTCTAAATGGAAGGGATGCAGGAAGTTTTTCCTTGGGGGAAAAAAAAAAAAAGTCGTTTGACAACTTTGTGTAAACTTTGTGTAACACAGTGTGCTGATTAATTAGACCAAAAAGTAAATAAAATACGTAATAAATGTAAAAAATTTTTGAGAAGTAGTAAATATTTTATTTGAGTGCACAAGAGAGATGGTTTTTAGAACAAACAACTAAAACAGTGATTTCCCTTTTGACCACGTATTGTTTTCAAAGCAAACAGGAGAAAATGGGATTAAGAAATGTTTAAACACTTCACAGAGGAATGTTAACCAACCACAGGCACAGTGGGAGCAATAAATTCACTTAACCCCTTTGTTGCTCAGAGTTGAGAAACAAGTTCAACTAAACTAAAAGCCACAAGGAAAGCTTCAAAACATTACAAAGAATTATTTTTCCCTTGCAGTTCAAGGGAGACTCCACATCTTTACCTGAAGATCTGTCTGTCCTTTTATAATTTGTGGCTAATTAACAACTGTAGGCTTGCCTACCTCCACAGAGAAACTATGCTAGTCTAAATGGTCATTAAAAAATTGGGCAATTAGTTTGTTTGTAAACATATTCATTTTGTATATATAGTTATTTTAAAAAATAAAATCAACACGTCTATTCTAGAAATACGTTTCATCACATTTTAAAGATATTGAAATACTCCCAACGTTGTCTGGTGAGTTAAGGGATAGCGAACACTGAAACAGACAACAATAAGTTGTAAATATTTTGAATTTTTCTTATTAATATATCATCCACGCTGCTGGAGCAAAAGAAACAAAAAGTAAAGAAAAGGATATTAAACTGCAGCCAGGTCTTTCTATGTTAAACTTAAAGGCAAAAGCTAAAATTGTCGATGTTTTCAAGTAAAAATATCAGCATTTAATTATTGGAAATTCTGTTTTTTATATCACAGTTAAGAGAAATTTAGGAGCATTTGAGAGCTATGAATGATTTAATGCCTGCTAACCTTTCAGAACAGAACAATGATGTGTGAATTAAAAAGTTTAAGGATTTAGAAAGAAACCACAACTGTGTCCAGTGAAAACCTGAATTCAAAATAATGTAGAGTTCATTTAAATCAATTAAGGGAGTTAATTTAAATTACTTCTTTAATTTAAGGTTAATTAATTAATTTGTTATAGAGAAGTCAAGGCTCACAGAAGAAAAAGTATTCATGCTAGAGGGAAGCAGAATTCACACGTCCAAGGAGCATGTGCGATCACCCCACTGCTTCTTCTCCAAAGAGATCACGTTGAGTGGAAATTAAAAAGTAAATAAAGCACCAAAAAATCAGGTTTGGATCTGAAAATAAAATCAATTTTAATTTTAATTCATTAATTAATTAATTTTCACTGATCTCACCTAAAAGTTGTGCAGTGTGGGGCAATATGAGTATGCTGCTGATTTTGACTGCACAGTTACAGCAATTCTAAAAACTTACTCTAACTGTGGGTATCCTCTGATTAGGGTTAGGGTAAAGGTTATGTTGAGGGTTTGGTTTAGGCTTAGGGTAAGGGTTATGTTTAGGATTGATTAAAGTTAGATTCAATTAAGGTTAGCATTAGGATCAATTAGAGTTAGGGTTAGGGTTATGTCCAATTAGGCTTAGGGTTAGTGTTAGGGTTAGGGTTAAGGTTAGGTTAAGGTTTAGTGTTAGGGGTAGGATGAATTAGAGTTAGGTTAAGGGTTAGCATTAGAGTTAGAATTAGGGATAAGTTTAGGATCAGTTAGGACTAGGGTTAGGTTTTGAGGGTATTGGCAATCTTGTCTGTTTTTGGCGTGGCTTCTCAAAATCCTCCTGCTTGCACTTCCTCCATTCCTCTTTCCTTTCCTTTCTTTTTTCCTCCTGCATTTCTTTTTATTCCCTCCTTGGAGCACATTCATATCTTGGGTCTGCTTTGCCTCTTAGCAAGCTCCACTCAAAGAGCTGAATCATCCTTGAAATCACCTGCAAACAATCAAGATCATTTTCCCTGCCCTGTTCTTGTGCTGAGGAGACTGACATTATGTATTTGCAAAGATGTCTGTGAGTCTGGTGATTATGCATGTTATTGGTTAATCCTAAATCTTGATGCCCACAGCAGTGTGGGCGAAAGGCATGGGAGCACTTCAGAGATTCTCAAAGTGAATGCAGAAGGAGGGGTTTGGAGAATAGTGTCATGACATGGGCAGTCATGTTGGGCACCAACCCAACAGATGCGTGCTGTTAACACCATCTGGGATGAAAACAAGGGCACAGGGAGATTCTAGGTACATTTAAAACTCCATTTCTATTGACATAAATATGTGTATTTTCAAATGGAATATGCTGAGCTGCAATCAGACATTCAATTAAAAAATTGGTCACTTCACTTTACCAGAATGTTGTAAGAGAAAAATATCCCCTGCTTCACAGTCATATCTTATTCATGCCAGCACATTTGTGAGCAACTATTATCAAGAATGAAGGACAGGAAGAGTAGCATTTCATCACAAATCTATGATGAGCATAGTGAGAACTCACCATGTTTTTGTTACTCTCTTTTATATCTGAATAAAAATACTATAAATTAGAATGTTTTGTTACTTATATACATTAACTATATCTCATATTTTATGAGGGCTGCTCCAAAGGTAATGCCTCTTCGTTTAATATTTTGGAGCACGATGCCAAAGGCAGATGTTGATGCTGTAGAGACTGAACTTTCCCACCAATATTCTGTTAAATGTTGTTGCTGTGTGATAGATGGCAGCAGAGAGGCAGTCTGACAAAATGGTGACTGACATGGAAATGAGTATGAAGCAAAGGGATGATATTCAGTTCCTCCATGTGGAACAAAAAGGCACCCATTGGTATTCGCTAATGCTTGCTGAACATTTATGGAGGCCAATTAGTGGATGTGAGCATAGAGAGGCAGTGGTGGTTTTCACCACAAGGCATTTCAGCAGTGATGGCAGTGACAGCAGTCACATCTGCTTGTGCAGATTTTTATGAGCACGGCATGCAGGCTCTTGTTCACAGCTTGTGAAAATACACAGATAATGGTGGCGACTTATTGAAAAATGGTGATTTGTAGCTGAGAACTTGCCAAATAGTGCTATTATGATTTTTGTACTAGTGGTCATTTCCAGGTAAATATAGGTAAGAAGCATTACTTTCAGAGCAACTCATGTATATGCAGCCCAAGACAATTCCTCTTCACTCAGTGTGTCCCAGGAAACCAAAAGTTGGACACCTATGTGTGTGAAGCAAAGCATCTTGAAAGAAGCACAGCCCCTGTGCAACACCTTACCAGCGCAACTGCAAAATTCTTGCACTGATTTTCTGCTTCTCATCCCCTCTGAAATGTCTTGGATGCATCCTTTCCTCAAAGCTTCAGGAGTTTCTCCCCAGCAAATGCAACAGCAGTGCTGATATGAAGTATTATCCCTTGCTATCTTGATGTATTTTGGCTCCAGCATTCAAGGCTGTGTTACGTACTGAGAGGACAACTCATCTACTAGGAAACACAATGCTTTTAGAGAGAGCTGTTGAGCTGCGACTCCAGCAGTCTCTGCAGTGATTGGTCCAAGAATGGAAACTGTTTTCTTTTTTCTTTTTCTTTTTTTTTTTTTTTTTTGGCATAGCTTCATCCTATCCTACACACAACGGAAAATACCCTGGGGTTTCTGGCTGCATGCTGCAAGCACTGAGTGTGCAATGGATTCATGGAAGGAGTGCTCCCCTGCATGCTGAGCAGCTGTGAGCAATAATACTTAATTTTGCTTGGATTTTTATGGAAATATATATATATATATATATATAAAGTTTTCTTACCCTTTATTTTGTTGAATTTTTCACCCACCTCTCCCTGATGTGCATGGACTTTCTGTCCCTGGCATCAGAATAAATCATCCCAAATATACAGGAAATGCATTTCAATCCCCTCCAGCAGCAAAGGTGCCAAAGAAGAGGCCAAGGCAGCCAGGCTCCATCTCTTTCCCCTCCCTTTGCATTGTCTGATAGCCATGGGGAAGGTTTCCATTGAAAGTGTGTTTGTGCCCCATCAGTAGAGAACTGTGGGAGAAATTCTCCTAGCAAGAGCTAAATTGACACCTAAATTTTAAGGAAATAGAGAAGGAAAAAGGAAAATATTCAAGTGATCTCCCCACCCCCCCGAAATAGGAGTGTAAGTAGCTGTTTATAAATATATATATATAAAATGCTAAAATGCTCATACTGAGGCAGTGATAGATGGAGATTTGCAAGGACAGCTGATGGCAACCTGAGCAGCTTCATCAGAGCTGTGCAAACAATGACTCTTTGTTTGAAAGCAAACACAAGGACTGTTTTCCTCATTCATTTCCTGCAGGGAAAGCAGTCAGAAACTGGACTTGGAAATACAGCCCCCCTGCCTTGGATGGCTGTAGCTGCTTTGTTCTCCTGCTTTTTCATCGTAGGACCCATACAGGTCTGTTACCCTAATGCTTTTTCTAGCAAGGATGAGGAAGAGAAATTCAGGAAGTATGTTCATGAATTCAAGAGCAGAAAAACAAAGTGTGCATGGAGTATGGTGGAGAGGGTCCACAAAAACTGCAGTGAGTATAAGGAAGCAGAATGGAGGAAGAGGAATTCATGGCCTGAGCTGGTGCCGACGGAAAGTAATGCAACCTTGTTGTGAACATCTTGCAGAAAAATAGGAAGAAAAACACAGGGCTGGACAAATGCTCTGCCTCCTCAAGGCTTATTTACAGAAGAAAAAGGAGACTCCATAAGCAACCAACACGCTTTTTGCTGCAGTGTTTGAGATTACAGAGTTACAAGAGGTTTAAGACTGGAAGGGACTTGGAGGTCTTTTTGTCTAGGGCAGAGGGGAATGAATTTTAAGTAAAATAAGGGAGATATTGGTCAAATAAAAGGAGGAAATTATATACTCAGAGGGTGACGAAACTGTCCAGAGAAGTTGTGAATGCCCCAATCTTGGAGGTGTAGCCTCGCCTTGAATAGAGTTTGGGCTCTATGATACAAGGATATAAAAGTACTAGAGTGTGCGTAAAGGTGGGCTATGAATTTGGGGAAGGATCTGGATGAAAAGAAGGACAGTAAAACGCTCATAGGACATCTGTTCAAAAGCCCATATCTCTTCATTAGCTGAAGGGAACATCATGCTCCTGATTTGGGCACATCAGCTTGGTCCTTACAATTCAGTGAGATAGATCTGAGTGTCGTGATTGGCTTGTGTACTGCGTGCACTCTGTCCTTCAAAGATATCTTCTGTTTGGGTTGAAAAATTGTCATACACGTGTTTGCCAGCACTGTCATCTCTCTTCTCCGCTCTGGAACATCTGCAGTGTTTAGATCCCACCTGGAAAGAAATGCATACAATCCAGACTTGTAAAATTAGCTTGCTTTACTCTGCAAGGCTACTTAAAGTTAATAGTAAGCATATGATCATGCTATAGAGTGATTTGATGATTCATCAAATCTTAGAATCATCAAATCCTAGAATCCCAGAATAGCTCGGCTTGGAAGGCACCTGAAGGATCATAGAATCATAGGACGACATGAGTTGGAAGGGATTACAAAGATGGTGGAATCAATCATAGAAAAACAGGGTTGTGGAATCGTATAATCAGAATCAAAGAATCATAAAATCATAGAATCATAGAATCGTAGAATGGCTTGTGCTAGAAGGGACCCATCAAGTTCCAGTCCGCTTCCATGGGAATGGTAGCTACCCGTGAGATCAGACCACCCTGTGCACCATCCAACCTGGCCTTCAACATTTCCAGGGATAGGACATTCACAGATTCTTTGGGCAATATGAGCATGTAATATTCTACTGATAGTTCAAAAGCACAAAAAGGAAAAATAAGTAGCCACATGGAGAGATGGGAATCATCCCTCAAAACACGAAACTCCAACTTCACGTCTCCATCATCGTCCCATGGCACATCTCTGAGAAAGAGATGTGAATGAACAAACTACAGCAGGGGAAATTTAGATTGGATATTAGAAAACAGCTTTTTATGATGAAGGCAGAGAAGCACTGTCACAGACACCTCAGAGAGGTGGTGGATGCCCCGTCCTTGGAGATGCTTGAGGGTTGGACCATAATCTGAGCAACCTCATCTAGCTGTAGATGTCCCTGTTTGTTGCAGGGGCGTTGGACTAGGTGAACATTAAGTATCCATTCCAACTCAAACGATTCTATGATTCCATGACTGTGAAAGGACGAAGAGCCACCAGCCCCAAAACCCAGATTAGAAGCTTAGTTGCTACAAATGCCTTGCAGGCTGGGGCATGCATGAAGCTTACCAGAGCACACGACGCCTGCATCTTCTCCATGGTTGCAGTTATGGACTCCCC